GGACAGGGGTTTGTATGAAAGCCATCTGCGCCCTGAGAGGGAGAAGGGCCTCCGTAGTTCTTTCATTTCCCTGCTGAGCAATTGCTGGCCAGCACAGTAGGTGGTCCGCGTGTATTCGTCTCCATCCTGTTTTTGCATTATGGTCTTGCACTGTAGTCCAGGCTGGCCTGGAACTCACCATTGTAGGCTGGATCGACCTTAAAATTTCCATTCCCCTGCCTCAGCTACCCCAGTGTTAGAGCTGTACCTGTGAGCTACCACATCTGCTTCTGTTTTGGGTCTATTCTTACTTAACTGTGTTTGCATTTTACTGTACACTTAGATTTTTTTTTTTCTTTTTTAGCCCCTAAACCTGAGTGCCTGGACTGTTTCCTTAGTGAGAAGGTGCAAAGGACTTGCTCTAGCATTTGAAGATCCCTAGCCTTACCCCCCATTAGGTGTCACCCAGATAATTCGTTATCCCCTTCCCAATTTAATTTTTAGCTATATCTGGGAAAGTAGGAGGTGTCTGAAGTTAGGGCAGAACTAGAAATAAGGCTGAAAATTCATGGAAATGTCAATGGCTTGGGCCTTGAAATTAACTTTAAAAAAAAAAAGAGTCATTTTACATCCACAAGTAAACACTGAAAACCTCTGAGGAGACCCTTTCCGAAGGTGGAGTTTCCGAGGGGGTGGGAAGGAGGATAGGTAAGAGGGAGGAGACCTGACCAGGAGCGCCTTCCAATAGGGATAGCTGGCCTCTATGGGAATCTCTCCACCCACCCCTTTTTGCCTTTAAGAAATAAACGCTCCAAGCGAGTTTACAGCTCACGCCTCGGCCCTCGGGGAGCTCTTTCCGGCTGCACTTCTGTCTTTAACCCCAGCTCCCAGACGGCCCGGGAACTAACGCCATGAGTTTCCAGTTGCTAAGGGTGAGGAGCATGCAGGGCATCTGAGCCTCCACACATCGGCTGGGCAGAGGAGGACCGCTGGCGGTGACCGCCGGCTGGACCGGGGCGTCTGCCGTCTGCCGGCGCAGGGTGGCTCGCGCGCGCTGTCATGCCGCCGCCCTCGCCAGCCCTTGGCCACAGTGGGCCTCCTCTTCGCCTGGCGGCGACTAAGATAAGTGACTTAAGGCCGCGAGGCTCAGCTGGCCTAGAGGTGTGTGGAAGCCTAGGACCCTAGAAGGCCTCTAGGTACATGGGTCTCCCGCCTGCACTCGGAGCGGTTAGGTTAGGTCGCTTGGGGATGGGCCCCGGGAACGCTTGGGAAGGTGCCGGGGTCTACCTTCTAAGCTTTCGAGGGTTCGAGGGGGGGGGCAGGGCAAGGCAGTAACGGGATTGCCTCCTTCGGGGTTCTGGAGTCTCTAGAAGAGAGGCCTTAGATACCAGGCAGCTGTTCTTTGGCTTGAAGGAAGTTAAATTCAGATTTACCTTAGCTGCTCCGGAAGAGAGCAAGGGTTTGGTCAGCGTTTGAGCAAAGGAGAGCAGGATCCAGACCTGGGGCAGAACTGGGTCCCTGGAAGCCTGGTAAAGTCAAAGATCCTTAATTCCGCTTCGTTTCGGCTGTTGGTAAAGAGGTGCCCTGTGGGAAGACCCGAAGGCCGAGAAACTGATTCAGGCCCCTGCGGCCTTGAGCGAGACCCACCGAGCTGAGTGCACTGAGCGCCCCCTCCCCAACCTACGGGTGTGCGTGCGGCGCTCGGCGTGTGTTTATTTTGCTGGGAATTTTAAAAAATCGGTTGGTATTATTTTGGAGCACCCAAGGATTGCTGTCAACAGCACCTCTGGCCTCAGTTCTGGACGCTCCTTGCGCCTTTTAAAGGTACGTGTTCATCTGATGCATGTATATCGTGTGTGTGCACGCGTGCACACACGCGCGCGCTCCTCGGCGTGCTGTCTGTGTGTCAGTGGAGAGCTTGGCGGCAGTCGGTTCTCTCCTCCTACTCTGTGGACTGGTGGTTTTTAAACTTGGCGGCAAGCGCCTCCATCCACGGAGCCGTCTCTCTGGCCTATTTGGGAGCTGTTTCCAGCTCAGGCTAAGCCCGGCGCGTGCCCTGGAGAGTGGGGTGTGGATGGCCACCCTCCTCCGGAGATTTTTTTTTTTTTTGGGCGGAAACCGGTTTCTAGGGCCCTGCCCCGACCTGGGCAGGCCGGTAATTGACAGTAATCCTTCACTGTCCGGAGGGGCCGAACAGAGCGCCCCCCCCCCCCCCGGCACGTGGCGCCGCGCTTGCAGAAGCGATTGGGGGTCCACCTGTTCTTGGGAGCCCCTTCCCTAAGGCGAAAAGAAGAGTCCCATCGCGCGCGCGAGCCACAGTCCAGCTTTATAGATAACTCCAAGCTGCCTTCTCTGGCCTTGGGTGGTGGCGGGAGTAGGAGACGGGGCCGCCCAGCCACCCTGACAGAGGCTCACCCCTGCGTGCTTCCCTGGAGGTGGCTCACGTTTGGGTCGCCGGTGGACCCTGCACACACCTGGTCGCCCCCAGTCTGGTTTCCTGGGCCCTCCTCTGACCCTGGAGGGAGTGGGTCCTGGCTTGCCAGGGTGTGAGTGACTGCAGGCTCCCTAGGGGGCGGCAGAGCGGAGCCCCTGACAGCCTTCCACTCCTCCATCTCAGCTTTGGCCGCGCCGGGGTCTTAGTCGCGGTGGGGTGGGGTGGGGCGGCGGGGTGCGGAGTGGGCGCATTCCCCCAGCAACTGCCCGCGTACCTCCGGGTCTTCCCGTGGGCGAGGGGTGGGTTCATTTAAAATGTGGGAGCCACCGGATGAGGTGCTGAGCTCCAGGAAGGCGGAAGCTTCCCGCACCTGGACTGCGGGTCAGGTCTCGGCCCCTAAGCCGGGCGTGGGTGGGGTAGGGTCCCTCAGAGTCGCAGACAGTGAGTTCAAGCCGCCCTCTGCATGCAGCGCCGTGCTATCGCTTAAAAAGAGAATGGAGAATGGATAGCGTTGTCTAGCGGTTCCCGAGTCCCCGGACTCCGGGGCTGAGGGGAGGCGAGTGCAGACCCTCGCACCTCTCTGTCCCCTCCCCAGTGCCGAAAGCCCCTCTGGAGCAGAAAACACCCCGTCCCTCTGGGCTGTTTGGGCTAGCTCAGCAGTGGAAAGAGGGCCTGGGATAGGATGAGCCGCACCCAGGGCCAGGAGACTAACCGAACCTCACCAGACATGGCAGTCGCCTTTTAGAGACAGAGCCTGGAACCAGATCTTTCCAGTCCTGGACAGGAGCACAGAAGTGTGCTGGCGGCTCTGAATCCAATTCGCGGAGCAGGTGCCCTCTTCTCCACTGAGGGCCAGGCCTCAGTGTTTTGGAGGCTTCGTGTCAGAATGGCGTGCCTTTTAAACTTAGCTGGATCCCCCCCCCCCCCACGCTTGGTTCCCGAGGTTCCAACTTCCTGGAATTTTTAGTGCCAACTTATTAGAAAGTCATCTTGCATGTGGCTATTCTCTAAGTCAATGGGGAACGTTTGGCTCGGACGACATTTATTTTTAGTTACTTTATTTTAGGCCTATCTGTTTTTGTTTGTTTGTTTTTTAATGCTTACACGACTCAGAAGAGCAGCAGGGAGAAGGTAAATTACTTTATTCTGTGGATACGGGAGGCACAGTTCACACCAGGTCCTGGCCATTGGGCTGATGGGTATCAAGGATTGCATAATTGGCTTGGGAATCAAATCGAAATAGTCGCTGCCTGAAATTGCCTCCGGTCGTTTGAAGCCAATCTCCACATACTGTTGGGATAGACCAACAAAACCAGCTCTGGACAATTGTGGGATTTCTGTTTGGAATGAAAAAAATTAACTATAGTAATTGGGCCAAATAATTTCGTTTCTTTGAATTTAGAAATGAATATCACTGAACGTTGCTTTTAGACTTGAATGGTAAATCTTGGGGTTCGGCTGTATTCTGTAGAAGGAAGCAATTCTTTTTGCCTTCTGTGGGGTGAGATGTGTTCATATCTCCTCCAAGCGTGACCTCCCTGTAGTTCCCTTCCACGCTCCCAGTATCTCCTCATCCCACCCGGCCCGAAGAGCTGGAGGTCTATTCCCGGGTGAACGGCCCGCCCCGGTGCCAGCTGCGGAGCCGGCCCTCCGCAATGCTGGGCATCGCATCAGGGATCGGCCTGGGCAGGGGAGAGCTCCGGTCTCCTCAAGCCGCGGCCAGCAGCCAGTGATACACCTTCGGGCGACAGCGGTGACACGCCGTTGTCCGATTTATTCTGAGTAGCTATTCCGGTGAGTTACGCCTTCGGAGCTGCGGGAGCAGACTCTTCAGAATCCCTCCCCTTCCTTCCCCCAGTGGGTAGGATAGTAAAGGAGCCAGGGAGAGGGAAAGGGGAAGACGCCGGGGCGTATTGGGGCTTCCGCTGCTCCGCAGCCCAATCCTTAAATCTCTGCGGGAGCGGCTGGGGCGGGGTGTTAGGAAACCCCCGGGAGGAGAAGTCTTCAGCTCTCAAGGGACTGCAATCTTGAGGAGGATGGAGGAAGGTTCTTTGAGGTGGGGGAAATCCCGATTGTCAGCTCTGCCGTTCTCAGGTGTGCCGTGGGCCTGGCAAAGGAAGCCGCGTTCAGGTACCCAAGCCTGGCAGCTCTGCAGTTGGCAGAGACTGATGCCCCCCGCGAGCCCCTCGCGACGCCGGGCCGGGCTAGGCAGGGTGCGGGGCGGAGCTAGCCAGGGACTGGCTGGGGGCTGCCCCGCCCGGCGCCTGGGCCTCCACGCCGGCCCCCGGGGAGGAGTTATGATAATTTTCTTCTCATTAAGGCGTCCAGGTCCCCCCGGCTATCGCCGGGACACTGTGTGAGGGTGAGAGTCCTCCGGTCCGCGGCTGCGGCCTCTTACACACCTACGGCGGCCACATCTGCGCGCACAGCCACCAATGCGCGTCCAGTGACCGGGACAGCGAGGCCCGCGCGGTGCGTGGGCGGCGGCAGACGCCTGGCCACCGTGACCCCGATTGTGGATTTACCGCTCGGGGGGTGGGGGGAGCCTGGATTTAACTGGCGACTATTTTGGGGGACGCCGGACGCCATGTTGTGGAAAATAACAGATAATGTCAAGTATGAAGAGGATTGCGAGGTGAGCGGGGGGCTAGGGAACGGAGCCCCGCCGGCCCGAGCAGCGTACCGGGGCCGCCGGCCGAGGCTGGGGACCTTCGCGCGGAGCCCTCGCCTCCTGGAGGCATGAGGGCCAGTCCCCTGGACACCCCTCGGCCATCTCCCGGGCCCCCTGTTGAATCTGGTCTTGTCCCTCGGGGGCCGGGCCTGGCAAGAGCGTGGCAGACCCATCCACAAAGCTCAACAGTGGGTTCCTACGAAGCGCACGGCCCTCCTTTCCGTTTTCCCCGAAGAGCGAGCGTCCTGTCTCTGACTCTCGGACGTGGCTTTTTTTTTTTTTTTTCCCCCACGAAGTCTGTTCAAAGTGTCCACGAAGGCTTCCCTGCCTTCCCTGCGACACCTTTGCGGAGTCTCCTCCAAGGAAGGCTTGTCACCTGCCCCGCTACCTCCACGGGAGAGGAAAAGAAAAAAAAAATCCAAACAACTGCAGCTCGTTTTTTTTTTTTTTTTTTTTTTTTTTTTAAGAGAAGTGGGGGTTGGGGACTACGCGGTGGGGGTGAGGCCAGATGGGGCCTTGAGCGCTCGCGAGTACTCTAGCCTGTCAGACAGGTTGAGCTAGAGTTTCGGAGAGTAGGAGGGAGGGAGGCGGCGAGCGGGAAGAGGAAGAAGATTCAGGCGGCGCGAGGCGAGCCCCAGGGAGCGTGCCGGGGAGAGCGGGCGCGGCCGGGCTGCGGGAGCGCACCGCGCGCCCGCACGGCCTGGAGGGGGCTGCCCCGTGCGTGCATGCGCGGGAGCTCCCGCCAGGGGGCGACAGCTCCCCGCTCCTGTGCCCCGGCTACCCTTGTGACCCCCGGGACTGATGAAGACACATCTTTTAGGAATTAAGTCTGACCGCCTTGGGGCGAGGAGACGTGCGCGGGCAAAGGTTGCCCAATTTGGCAGAGTCCTTTTCATTCTTTCTCTACACCGGCTGGTGTGAGAACCTTGACCGTGGCGGGGCTGGAAGACCTCGCTTCCCAAAGGCGCAGAAGGCACGGGCTTGGCTAGCAAGGATCCCAGCTCCCGGTCCCGCGTGTTGGCGCCCGCTCTCCGGACGACCTGACCGTATCTGGCCTTACCTGGGAGTGTCACTTCCGCCCTCGGTGGTCTCGCCTCCCAAGGGAGTGGATGGTCCTTAGGGCGGGGAAAATGTGCTCCTTGCCGCCTGTATTACGTATTATCTGCGACGGCTGCCTTTGGCGCGCTGCGGGGAGATGGGAAGGCTGGTGAGCGAGTGCGATTTGAGCCGGGTTCGCCACACGCCGACTTCCAGGGGCACCGCTTACCGCCACGGCCACGGCCTCTCCCGGACGGTGGCAGGGAGCTCACACTTGGCACCTCCGAGCGCCCCAAGCAGTACAGCGCCTTCGCCTGTGTGCTTGAAGGACTCGTTCCCCCAGGTCTTAGACAGATGGTTTACAACGAAGTCCCTGGGGCGCATTGTCCCCGGGCGCCCTCGGGCTCAGGGGCGGGTCGAGACGGGTGGTGCGAGCTTGACGGGGCGCAGAGGCGCTCCTCCCTTGGCTGGCCTGTTCGCTGTAGCAGGGTTTCGTGTTAACCGGGTTTCTGCCGTTTCTCTCCCAGGATCGCCATGACGCCGGCAGTAATGGGAACCCTCGCATCCCCCACCTCTCTTCTGCTGGACAACATCTCTACAGCCCCGCTCCGCCTCTCTCGCACACCGGGGTTGCCGAGTACCAGCCGCCGCCCTACTTCCCGCCTCCCTACCAGCAGCTGGCATACTCGCAGTCCGCCGACCCTTACTCGCACCTGGGAGAGGCTTACGCCGCCGCCGTCAACCCCCTGCACCAGCCTACTCCCACCGGCAGCCAGCAGCAGGCCTGGCCGGGTCGGCAGAGCCAGGAGGGCGCTAGCCTGGCCTCGCACCACGGGCGCCCTGCAGGCCTGCTACCCCACATTTCAGGGCTGGAGGGGGGCTCGGTGAGCGCCCGGCGGGAAGCCTACCGCCGTTCTGACCTGCTGCTGCCTCATGCCCACGCCCTGGAAGCCGCTGGTTTGGCGGAGAACCTGGGGCTGCACGAGATGGCTCACCCCATTGAGGAGGTGCAGGTGGGCAGCGGCGCGCGCCGGGGGCTGGCCCTCCAGCCTCTCCACCTTCCTCCAAACTTAAAAGAAATTGTCGCTTTTCCCCCCCAGAATGTGGACGATCCGCACCTGCTTCTTCATGATCAGACCGTCATTCGCAAAGGTAAACAGTGACCCTTGGTGCCTTAACCAGTGAAGTTGCCCCTTTTCTGGCGAGGTGGGGGTATGAAGTGGCTAGCGTGGGTCATCCAGTGGAGGAGGGGCCTGGCGATGACACCCATCCGGAGACTACATTTGAAGTAGTAGAAAAATCATTATTTCTGACCTGGACTAAAAGAACTCCGAGGAGCCGTAAATTTTGAGAGATTTTTGGTGGTGGTGGTGATACTTTCGAAACAAAGTTTAATTCTGTAGCCCAGGGTGGCCTTCAACTCACTGGAAACTCTTGGCTTAACCGGTGGCTTAACTCTGGCATTACCGGTGGGAGGCTGTCATTTAACTTGAAAACAGAAGAGACAAAAAAAGGACACAAACAGTACCCCGGATGACGGTTTCTAATTGTTGAAAAGATTGAACTAAATTTTACTTTTAAGAAGTACATTTATTATTATGTGTGTGGGGGGGGTGTCAAAATCTAACCTGTAGAGGTCGGTTTTCTCGGCTTCAGAGGTTGAACTCCGGGCAGGCTTGGCAATGAGCGCTCTACTACTGAGTAAAGGGATTTTATTTCTTCTGCATAGCTATTGGAGAGGCACTCAATTCTAACACTATTTAACAGGTTCCTCCACACTGCCTTAATAAGGACAGACCTTGGTGATTTTATAGGAGGGGAGGGGATTGGGGAAATCGGATTACAGTGGGTGGCTCCTGATTGAGTTATACACTGACTGTTATTCGGTCTTTGAGGGGAAATGGAATCACCCTAAATTACAGGTAGTTAAGGTCTTGGGACCGTGAACTGCATGAGTAGTAAATTGGGAGAGGACGGGGTTTGGAGAAGAACACCTGGGAAACAAACTAAATCTCTGAGGAGATTTAAACAGACCTGTCGAATCTGTGTTTCTGAATTCCCCCGCTGTCAGCTGCACGGAAGGGTTCGGGCGATTGATCTAAGTGTGCCCTGCGGTTTCAGCTTATGATGGCCGGGGGTAGGGGGAGGATGCCATTTATTTTGTATTGAAGCAGTTTTCTGAAAGCAAATGCTTTAATTAAACAGATTACTGTGGTGGCCAGGAACTGGGAGGAAAAAAAAAAAAAACCAACTCCTCCATGTGTGGAATCTTGACTAATTAAGGTTAGGAGGTGTTAACGCATGGTTTCAGACTCCAGTCTTTAAAGAAAGACTATAGCTTTTAAAAGCCTTCTTGCAATACGTAATTCTCTGTTGGGACCTTTCCGAAGGCCGGCGGCCTTCAGCTTTGGCTTGCCTTTTTGAAAAGGTCTCTGCCCCGTCCACTTCTAATGACAGACCTGTTCCACTGTCGCCCATCCCCACCCCCGCAGGACCCATTTCAATGACCAAGAACCCTTTGGGCCTCCCCTGCCAGAAGGACCTGGTGGGAGCAGTCATGAACCCCAGCGAGGTGTTCTGCTCTGTCCCCGGAAGACTGTCCCTGCTCAGCTCCACATCTAAGTACAAAGTGACCGTGGCTGAGGTGCAGAGGCGACTGTCACCACCAGAATGCCTAAACGCCTCGCTCCTGGGAGGCGTGCTCAGAAGGTGACACACGGTTGAGGGCCCCCTGGGGGTTGGGTAGCCGAAGGTGAATATATATGTACGAGGGTCTAGAGGTATTTTTAACATTTATGTAACTTTCATATCTTAACACTGAATCCTAATCTGTGTTAAGAGAGCTTTTTAGTGCATCTTCTTCCCAAAGTGCCAAATGCAGAAGGCGCTAAAGCAGCAGTAACAGGTTATTATCATTTGGTTGGGATTAAGAGGCAGCAGCTGTGGGAGGGCAGGGGGGGTGGCTTCTAGTGCTCCCCACCAGGAAGTTGGGGGAGGGCTGCCAGAGTCCTGAGTGGAGGTCTTTTTGCACCCCTGCTAATGGAAGTATCCTGAGATTTTTAGAGGGAAGTCGGGTTTGTGGTTTTGTTTGCTTGGTTGTCTTTATTCCTTCCTTCCTTCCTTCCTTCCTTCCTTCCTTCCTTCCTTCCTTCCTTCTTTCTTTCTTTCTTTCTTCTTTTTTTTCTTTTCTTGAGAGTAGCCAACTTTCTTTTCCACACAGAGCAAAATCCAAAAATGGAGGCCGGTCCTTGCGGGAAAAGTTGGATAAAATTGGGTTGAACCTTCCAGCTGGGAGACGGAAAGCTGCCCACGTCACCCTGCTCACATCTCTCGTGGAAGGTCAGTGCCGCTGTGCTTTCACTTTTACTGACTTCAAGACTGTCCTAGAGAAAACACAGTCACTCTTATGAACTCATCACCCACGGAAGTTAGAGCATTTCAGGGTGTTCACCGCAATGGATTGTAACACTTTACCTGACAAGGTGATGTTTACACCTCTGGATGCTGATACAACGCATTTGGGGGCTTCACTCAGAAAGTTATGTTACCAAATTTTGATATTTTTTTTTTCTGAACCAATGAAATCATATGATACAATGGCAAAACTTTCCCTGTGAAGTGAACCAGCTTTTGAAAGTTGAAAGGTGCAGTCAGTGATACCTCCACTGACAGTCAGAATCGCTGTTTTTCCTTCTGACTACACTAAGGGTCCTGCTTAGTGTATACAATGAGCTCTGGCTCAATTTTTATCATTTCTTCCTTTCCATCAAAAGAGGGATAATAAGGAATGAAACCTCTGGTCCACAGCTGAGCCTCTTTCTCCATTCCTGAGGTCATAGCTGCGTTCGTCCGTCCAGTTTTTGAATGGAGACCCTTCCCCTAGCCTGGAAGGTAGCCAAGACTGCCATGCTTGGCCTTTAAACGAAAAGACAACAAAGTAAGGAGCATGTTGTTACCGAAGCAAGGAAGGTGGACTTACTCGCCAGTGCCTCCGCCGAGGTCCGTGGGCCCCTGTGCTGTCCACTGGCGCTGCCTAGCTTAGGCTTACGATGGCCACAGAGAGTGAGTTCTTCAGAGCAGAGAGAGTGGTGTTCCAACAATGCTGTCTGGATTCTGACTCGCCCTCCCCCCCTACACCCTGGCCTTCACACAGTCTTGAGCCCTAAAGCAAGGTTACCTTTATTGGAAGAAGAAATTATTTTTCTCCCCTTTCTCTCCCCACTCCCGAAACCCCCTAAACCTTTAGGTTAAGGCTTTGTTTTCAGTCAAGGTGTCCCCAGCCTCCACTCTTCCTAGCATTGCTGGTTGAACCCAGGAACTCAGCTCCACCAGAGTCCCATCTCTGCCTTGAGCCTCAACCTCCTGAGAACAAGGTCTCAGGCTTATCACACTGCTGTACCGACTTCTTCCTATTTTAATTCTTCCTATTTTAATGTCTTTTGAGACTGAGCCTTCTGTGTCCCCTGGCTGGCTGTGTAGCCTAGGATAAACCTGAAATGAGCTTCCTGCCTTCACCTTCCTAGAGTTTAATTTTTTTTTTTTTTTTTTTAAAGAGTGCTGGTGTACACCTTAACTGCTAGCACTCTGGAGGATATCTTTTGAGTTCAAGGCTTTCCTCCTCTACCTACAGCAAGTTACAGGTTAGTCAGTACCATACAGGGAGTCCCAGTCTTGAAAGCAGGATTCTAGACCACCACCCGCCGTGGTGGAAGTAAGACGCCTTTAATCCCAGCATTTGGGAGGCAGAGATCTCTGAGTTCAAGGCCAGCCTGGTCTACAGAGTGACTTCCAGGACAGCTGGAGCTACACAGAGAAGCCCTGTCTTTGAAAAACCAAGGGGAAAAAGATAAGAGAGCCTAGATTACCCCTTAGGAATCATGGCAGACACTGGAGACCCTGCCTCAAAACAAGAAGAAAACCAACTCCTGAAAGCTGTCCTCTGACCTTGAACACCATGCAGTACCATGCACACAGGCACATGCACATACATGTGCAATTAATGACAAATTGGGACGCACCTAAGGGCAGCAAGTATGGGATTTTACTTTAGAAGACAAAGGGAGGAGCTAAAGAGATCCGGTCTGTGATTAAGAGCACTGGTTCCTCTTCTAGAAGTCCTGAGTTCAATACCCAGCAACTACATAGTGGCTCAGAACCTTCTATAATGGAATCTGGTGCCCTCTTCTGTTGCACATACATACAGGAAGACAGCACTCACATACGTAAATAAGTAAAACATTAAAGAAGCCAGACCATGGTAGTATACACCTGTAATCCCAGCATTCCCAGGGAGGCAGAGGCCAGCCTCGTCTACAAAGGGAGTTCAGGACAGCAGGGTTAAAAAAGAAAAGACAAAGTGAATAGGCTGACCGCAGCCACTCTAGACCCTAAACCTCTTGGCAACTGCTGCTATTGTAGGCGAAGCCGTCCATTTGGCTCGGGACTTTGCCTATGTCTGTGAAGCTGAGTTTCCCAGTAAAGCAGTGGCTGACTATTTAACCAGACCGCATCTTGGGGGACGGAATGAGATGGCCACGAGGAAGAGTATGTTGTTGGCAGCACAGTGAGTATCTGGCCTGCACAGCCTCCCCCCTCCCCCAGGGGGCTCAAAACCCCAAAGCAATGGGAAATAGCTAGAGCTTTGCTGAGTCAGACCAGCAACATCTAGTGGCATTTAGAGGAGGGGAACCACGATGAATTGCTTCTTCATCCTAGGGGGCACTGGTGGCTGCTGACTCGGCTCACAGGAGTCAGCACACCCTGCTTATTCCATTTGGGTATGTGCAAGACTTTGTGCAGCTCAGTTAGCAGGGTTTGCCTGGTATGCATGAAGCTAGGCCAGCATCTTCAGCACCACATAAAAACTGAAGCCAGTCGTGGTGACGCACGCCTTTGGTCCCAGTACTTGGGAGGAGGCAGATCTCTTGAGATTGAGGCCATCCTGGTCTACAAAGTAAGCTCCAGGACAGCCAGGGCTACACAGAGAAACCCTGTCTCAGAAAAACAAAACAAGTCCACCCCACCCCACCCCAAAAAAATGGGAGTAGCTCCAACCTGGGCTCTATGAGACTGGTCCTTTTACCTTGGCCAGGTGTGTCTGGACTTGATCCACTTACCTTTTCTCATTGCAGCAGAAATTAAACGAGAGCCATTAATTGAGGACCTGGCACAGGATAGGTGCTAAGTAGAGAGGTGTGGGATTTAGAGTTTAGGGGATGTCTCACTTAGTAGACTGCTTGCTTTGCATACGTGTAAATTCATACCAAGAGCAGAGGTGAATACCTATGATCTCGTACTGGGGTGGTAGAGGCTGGAATAAGTTCAAGGTTGTTCTTGGCTACATGGTGGGTTATGGTGGGTTCAAGGCAAGCAAGGTGCTTTTTTTTTTTTTTTTTTTTTTTTTCTTAAGACAGGGTTTCTCAGTGTAGCCTTGGCTGTCTTTGGACTCCCTTTGTAGACCAGGCTGGCCTTGAACCCACAGCAATCCAGGTCCTTCTGCCTCCCTGAGCACTGAGAGCCCCCCATGCCTGGCTAGTAGATACATTCTTGCTTCCAAGTTCATTCTAACGGGATCAGGGCGGAATTCATTCTGTCAAGAGCCAAATAACGTTCACCAATTGTCCCCGCAGGCAGGTGTGCAAAGAATTCACAGACCTTCTCCATCAGGACCGAACACCCAACGGGAACAACAGGCCCACCCCGGTCTTGGAGACGAACATACAGAACTGCTTGTCTCATTTCAGCCTGATAACTCATGGCTTTGGCAGCCAGGCCATCTGCGCCGCCGTGTCTGCAGTGCAGAATTATATCAAGGAGGCTCTCATCACCCTCGACAAGTCCTACATGAACCCAGGGGACCAGAGTCCAGCTGATTCAAACAAAACGATGGAGAAAATGGAAAAGCAGCGGAAGTAAAGCTGTTGTGTGGAGGCCAGAGAGTGAAGGAAGAGGACTGGAGCCCCTTCCACCGGGGCTGCCTGGGAAGCATCCAGACGGGGGCAAGCAATTACCATCCACCTCACTCATGGAGTCTGCCCTCTTGGAGTCTTGTGACTTTTCTACTTAACCCTGGACATGCTTTCCTGAAGCGATTTGGTTTGGTTCTTTTACTCATTAAACATTTATATTTTTTTGGAAATCCAGTCCCTCTCTGAAAGGTGCTATGAGTTTTAGAACTCTTTTGTGAAAGCTTCCTGGGCCAACAAGAAACTCCGTGCTTAGCTGCTGACACAGCAGATGGGAGTACGATAAAGGGATTGATGGTTCATAACTTATTTTTTTTTCAGTGTTAAGATAATGGCTGGCTTTTATGTCCACAAAAATATTTATCTAAAATTAAAAAAAAATAATAGTATTTATCTAGCTTTCCCCACCCCCTCAGCCATCACACCTTCTGGTAGGAGCCAAAGGTCAGACGTTCTTAGCAGCTATTAAGTGGTATGTGACAGGTTTGTAGCCCCTGCTCAAAAAGGGCTCTCCTGTTTTGTTTTGTTTTTTTTTTAAAAAAAAAAAGAAAGACGTAGAAAGCAAAGCCTGCTGGTTGTTTCATGTTTCCTTCCTCTTTATTAAAAAAAAAAATATTGAAAGTTTAAAATTCTATAGATAGTAGATTTTTTTTAAATGACCTGTTCCTTTAAGGTATAGAAGCTTTATTTGCATATTTATTTCATATCTTGATTTTTTTTTCCACATAAACTTGAAGAGGGTAGGCACACAGCGGCGCCTGTCATCCCCAAGTCCCCAAGGAAGCTCTGTGTTGAAAAACTGTTGAGTGTACAGATTTTATTTATGCATAATTTAATGGGATCTGTAAATACTTCTTATGACTTTTTGAGAAATGGGATTCGATTTTAATATTAACTTTTAATGGTGATGGGTACCATAGCCCCTCCCTCTAGATTTTATGCATATGCACACAGGGTATTGAGACTGAAGATGAAGCTGGGCTTTGCTCTTGGCTGGTCAGGCATTATTTAATTGGAGCTGTCTAGAAAGCAATATACATCTCGTTCCTGCGGGCTGAACCAGAAGGTCTAGAGTATAGTTTGTGTGGGTGAAGTGTGGACTGGGATTGAACCTCTATGCCTGTAAGTGCTACCTAAATAATTGTTGTGTGTATGATACCTGTAAAATAAAAATATTCTCGATAGAATCTGAAAGTCTGGTTCTGACCCATTTTTTCCTGCAGCTCCTAGGAAAGTAGGATCGATCAAGGCTAACCTGAGGCTTGACTTTGCTTTGGTTAATTCTATAGACAGAATAAGGAACTCTTGGTGCTATGGAAGGATCTTGAAGCTTTTCTCTCTCTAGTTGACGCTGCTCAGTTGCCCCAAAGCCTTCCTGAGTTCATCTTTTTCGTCATGAGCTGAGTACCAGCACCTGGAGGTGCTGGGAACATGCTCTCAGGACAGGCTTTGCTTTTGAAAGAGGGGGTTAATTTTTGCTGTTTGTCTTTTGGTGATGAGCCTCCAGTATGCCCAGCCTATGCTCTGCTGCTTTGTGGGTACCCCAAGCCTAGGGTGACGAGTTTTGAGGGGCTTTGGGTATCACCTCGTATGAATGGCTGATGCTGCTTGACTGGGCATGAAGTCTTCCCGTGTGTTCTCAGGCAGATCTTAAGGGGAGGATATTGCATCAGTCAAACCCAAGAGTGACCTGGGCCTTTAGTGTGTTCGGCGAAATTTGAATTCTCCGTCACTGAAGACAGTGAAGGCTCCATGCACTTTTTTCTCATTTTGTCTGCCTGGGGTGAGTTAGAGGCGGCGTGGGAGCCCGTGTGCTCGCTGAGCTTTTGGAACTTGGATGCACACTGTCCGTACTTGGTGTTTCTTGTTCAAGTGGCCTGGCATGGCCTCCAGGAAGTGAGAGGTTAATAGTTTGGCATGCATGGCTGGGCTTCAAAGGGAAGTGGGGGCAGGAGGATTTTCCACTTTGGATAAAGTCATGGCTTCGGCTCCGTTCTTGTAGTCCTTAATTCCTAATTCCCTCCCTAGCACACAGCCACTCCTGACTTCACATTGGCATGGGATGCTCCACTAACCCCGAATTTGCTCCTGGCAGCGGGTTGTTGGTCCCTGTACATCTCCATTAAGTTGGATTTATCTGGTTGATACGTCAGGGCTGCAACTGGCTTTGCTTTCACTCAGGGAAAAGAGGTCTTAGGTTGGCAGTTATTTCTCAATCAAGACTTGAGACACTGGGTGCGAAAAGGAAGTCACGGGGGCAAAGGGCTGAAAGAAAAGGGATGGTTTTTCTTAGCAGACTCGTTGGGACCAAAGTCTGGCTGTACTCAAGTGCACTGCCGACAGCATGCTGGGAGCTCCCTCAGGTCAAACAGGCCACAGACAAGCTGGGACCAAAAATGCAGGGGACAAGTGTCTGCTGCCGGAGGCCTCTGAGCTGGTGCCCTGTGACTCAGAACCAATACTTTACAGGGAACCCACAGACAACCTGCTGACAGTGTTCCCAGGGAGCTCTAGGCCACTAGTTAAAGATGGGGCCATGCCTTTTAGTCAGGTCCAAGACCACTCGCCTTCCTGAGTAGGACAGGTTTTCTGTTAAGCTTTGCTACATGAGCGAGCATCCTCTCTGCTGGACTGGATGCTGGCTGTCCCAGACAGTGCTTTCTTTATTTCTTTGTGTCTACTGTGTGTGTGTGTGCATGTGGGTGCATGCTTGTGGAGGTTACATCAGGTGTCTTCCTCTATGGCTCTCCACCTTAATGTTTGAGGCACCGTCAATCACTGAGCCCAGAGCACACTGATTCAGCTAGACTGCTGGCCAGACACTGAACCCAGAGCACACTGATTTATTTAGCCAGACTGCTGGCCAGAGAGCTCCAGGGTGCCTCCTGTCTACCTTGGCGGCAATGGTATTCCAGGCATGTGGGCGCCACTGCCTCTAGCTCTTTAATAGAGGTGTGTTTGTGATTTTCATGTTCTGTGTCTATGTGAGTGCTTATGCATGCCTACCCTATGTATGTACCTGTATCTAACTGGAGTTACAGATGGTTGTGAGCCGCCACATGTGGGCTGAAGGAACTGAGCCCAGGTTCCCTGCAGGACCAGCAAGTCCTCTTAACCAAAGAAGCATCTCCCTGGTGCCTCATGCCTGAGTTTTTTGTTTTTTTTTTTTTTTTTTTTTTTTTTTTTTTTTGGTTGTTGTTTTGTTTTTCTTTTTTAAAAACGGTGCCAGGGATCCAAACATAGGTCCTCATGCCTGCACTGCAAACACGTCCTGGCTGAGCTATAGCCCTGGCAGCTCTTTTAAGTTTTTGAAACAAGGTCTTGCTGTGTACCTGTTACTGTCCCGAAATACACTATGTAGCCCAGACTCGCTTCACACTAAACAATCCTCTTGTCTCCACCTCTGGGGGTTGTCTGGGGAGGGGCTGGGATTATAGGCATGTACCACCATGCCCAACTACGGACTTGGGCATGTTTTTTTTTGTAAGGCACAAGTTGTCACTGCCCTCTGGGAGAAGCACTCTCAAGAGGTTCCTTTGTCCCAGCTTGCTGAAGGAACCCCAGTGTGTCTGTCTGAAGGTACACAACGCCCTGAATTCCATGCCCATAAGGGGCGTCTCGGCAGGACCTTACATCTGTTGGCTGGCATCCGGGTACCTGGCACCCCTACCCTGCACACAGCACACCTGTGGGTTCTCTGGGAGGCTAGAGAGGGTGTTTTCCATAACTGTTCACGCTTGTCTTATCTTCCATGTGCATGTGATTTGAGCCGTGCGTTAAGCAAGAGACAAGGCGGCTGTTTCTCATTTGAGATGATTCCATAACAATGGCGGGCATTCTTTTCTTTTGGGGGGTCTGGTGTGAGGCTGAGCTCCGAGAGACCTCAACTTCCTGGATGTGAATGTTAAACACCAAAGCGAAACAAGGTAGGGTCATGGACGGGTGAGAAACAAAGGGACTTCTCTGAGGAACCAGGCAGAGCCTGGGGCTCTGGAGCCCACTGCTTGCTTTCCCTGGGGGGAAATGCTGGCTAGGGTATGTTCCTGAAGAGGCCTTTCTAATGACCTCAGTTTCTCCAGCCTTCACTGCACGTGGGTAGATCGGTGTTCCAAAGTGGCAGTTAAATCTACCTGCCTTTATGTGCATGGGAATAACTTTGAAGTGGCTGTTGTCTGTGATGACTGTGTGGTTCCTTGAAATATATTTGGCAGATGACTGGGGTTCTCTGTGAGTCCTAATTTTGCAGTGGCCCCGTGCAAGGTCACCTCTAGCCAGCTGAGCTCAGCGGGCTGTGAAGACTTTCCCCCAGCAGTTGTCGATGGAGGAAACGTCCTTCTGCTTTCCACACTGCAGGGCTGTGGTTCACAAGTGTGCCTTCTGAACTAGATGTGATTTTTTTTTTTTTTTTTTTGAGACAGGGTTCCTCTGTGTGTAGCCTTGGCTGTCCTGGAACTCACTTTGTAGACCAGGCTGGCCTCAAACTCAAGAGATCCGCCTGCCTCTGCCTCCCGACCATACTCTGACATGCCCAGCTAAATATTTCTCTTGAATGGTATGTTGACTTTTCTCAGCCAGAGCTTCTGTGCCTTGAGTGTCTCTTCCTGTTCCCTCATTTGCCTCCCTGAAGCCTATGGGGTCGCTCTCCCCCAGGAAGAGTGGAGGCTCTGGCTGCTGTCAGAACCTGACCCTTTCCTGGCTTTGCATACCCAGGTTGGCATCTTGTCTAATGCCAATTCTGATGCCAAGAAGCAAATCACACCTTGAACGTCTTTGCTGGTAACAGGGAACATGATCTCCTTTGGAGATGAACTTGACCTCATGATTTTTAGAATGACTTACATTAAAGTCCATATTTCATGGATCACTCATTGTTTTTGGCATAATAATACAAGTCATTTCCTTGCTTCTTTTGGATAACATCTCCATGGGTGAAGTGAATAAGGGAAAAGG